CGGAGGCTTCTATGCTTTCTGCAGGAAGGTTTATGAAACCACATCAAGAACATGATCTGCTGTACCACATGGAATAAGCTTTGTCTGACTTAAACTAGTTGACTTCAGAACAAAAATCACAGCTGTGGATTATTCTTAAAATAACTTACTTACTAAAAGCAAAATTGTAGTGGTGCTTTGAGAATTCTCAGAAGCTTTATCCAGTTATGGTGGCAGGGTTTATTTTTCTTGATCTGTAAGGAAATGTTAACGCCAATGCCTTATTCTCTAGAGTTGGTGGGGATGGACAAGAATTTCATTGCCAGCCCTGCTGAAGGATGGCAGCAACATATGCCAGCAACCAAATTGGATATCCCTTTGACTTAAAATTAAGTGTTGTACCAGGCAGAAGAAATTACAGTTTAACTGCAGAGATAAGACTAGCGAAAGATTAGAGTGGGGTCTGTCCAGTTTACAGTACAGCAGGAGTTCACTTTGAAGTCTGCTTAGGCCCTTGCTTTTTTGGCTGGGGGTAAGTGAGCAAGGCTGAGACTTAGGTCTGTGTGTAAGTAAGAATTTGGTGAGATACGCGCCTTACAAGTGTAAATCTCTGGCACTGTTGCCAGTTGCAGTAGTTCTGTGAAAACTTAATTATTCTTAATTTCTTAACTGTTTGAGTTTGTCAAGTTCATTCCTTTAAACATTCACAAATGAAGTTACTAAGTTATTAGCGGGAAAGATGCCCATGTAAATCAAGCAATGTAGTGACTGTTAGACTTAGCAAAACACAGGTAGGTACTCTTGTCCTTGCAACCCCAATATGCCAGAAACAATGAAGACACTGAATGTGTTTTCCCTCTCTTGTGCTGCACCATTGATTGCCTTGGGAACTCTCTTTAAAGAGCCTTGAGTGGAAGAGCAGCCATATTTATGAAGAAAAGTCAGTAGAAGTCGGAGAGACCTGTTTTCCAAATTTGTTCTGAACAAAGTTCTGGTTCTCCTGTCTCAGCACTTGGATGTGTTGATAAACTCCTTGCAAATGACTGAATGCAAGAAGTATTGGTGGGAGCAAAAGAAGAAGGTAACATGTTGAAAGAAAGAAGAGCAGGATTGTGTAGTCAAAGCAGCTATTGGACTTTTCTAGCATGCAGTTGATTTACTGTTAGCTTCAGCTACTAGTTTCACGGAATTACAAATGGTTGAGGTTGGAAGGGACATCTGGAGGTCATCTGGTCCAACGTTCCTACTCAGGCAGGGCTGCCTAGAGCCAGCTGCCCAGGACTATGTCCGAATGGCTTTTGAATATCTCCACGGATGGAGACTCCACAACCTCCCTGGGCAGCCTGTGCCAGTGATTGGTCACCCTCACAGTGAAAAAGTGTTTCCTGATGGTCAGAGGGAACCTTCTGTCTTTCAGGTGTGCCCATTGCCTTTGGTCCTGCCGTGGGCACCACTGAGCAAAGCCTGGCTCTATGTTCTTTACACCTTCCCTTCAGGTATTTATATACATTGATGAGTTCCCCCAGAGCCTTCTCTTCTCTAAACAGTCCCAAGTCTCTCAGCCTTTCCTCAGAGGAGAGATGTTCCAGTCTCTTGATCATCTTTCTGGCCCTTCATTGGGCTTTCTCCTATATGTCCACACCTCTTGTACTGGGGAGCCCAGTACTGAATCCAGCACTCCAGATGTGGCCTCACCAAGTGCTGAGTAGAGGGGAAGGATCACCTCCCTTGACGTGCTGGTAACACTCTCCTAATGCGGCCCAGGACACCCATTAAACTTCTTCATGGTGAGGGCCCATTAGTAGCTCATGCTCAACTTGGTGTCCACCAAGACCCCCAGGTTCTTTTCTGCAAAGCAGCTTTCCAGCTGGGCAGCTCCCACCATACACTGGTGCCTGCGGTTGTTTCTCCCCAGGTGCAGGACTTTGCACTTCCACTTGTTGAATTTCCTGTGGTTCCTGTCAGCCCATTTCTCCAGCTTGTCGAGGTCCCTCTGGATGGCAGCACGACCCTCTGGTGTATTGGTCACTTCTCCCAGTTTTGGTTGGTTAAGTGAAATATTTCTCTTAAGGGAACTGTGAAGCTTCTATTATGGCTGTAGAATTTTGGTATCATGAAAATAAATTTGCTTGAATAATTCATCACTTAAAACTCAGACTTTTCTTTCACATTTGGTTATCATAGCGGCAATTCACTGTTGAATATGCTGAAAGTCAAGTAGATTAATCATGAACTTATTACAGAATTGAGAGGAAATTGAGTTCCCTCAGTTATGACAGGTGAAGTGGTTGTAAATAGTTTCTTAATTGTCCTTTCAGTTGGTTGCTTTGATTATTGCTACAAAAAGTCCAGTGTTCCTTTACTTTTACATGTCTCCTTTTCCCCCTCTCCCAACAGATACACCACTGGCAAAATGTTAACTACAAGCCGAATAAAAGCAAAATTGTTTATCTGAAGGCTGCTTATGGTGTAAGCTTCCACATGAGGTGTTTAGAGAAGGAGGGGGAACTCTCTCTGACCTATAATCTTGGTGGTTACTCTATCTTTATGCAACATACCAGGAAAGTGACTTTGATAAGAATTTGAAACCCAAGGCAGAAGCAATTTTGTTTACTTTTTCAGTTTTTAGGTGCTCTGAAGGCTTGAGTGAACTTTCTGCTATGTGAAAGCATTAGAGGTTAAAATGGAGAAAATGATTCTTGATTGTACTTTAAGGCAATGCTTACAGAAGTGGGAAGTTTTTTGAAATAAAACAATGCTGCGTTATGAAGAACCTTGAATTCAAAGCCTGTAGGCCTTTATATTGTAAGCTTAGGGGCTGAGAGAATAATTTTCCATACCAAGGTGATTTGAGAATGTAAAATAAAATGTATGAAAAGACAGTTTATCAGACAAAAATCTTAATTTTGTGAAAACAATAATTTATTATGCAACCCGTCTGGAGGGTTGCCTCGCTCCCTGTTTCTCAAGCTTGTATTTTAGCATTGGTTAGCATTCGACAGGTGAATGTTTAAAAAAAAAAAAAATCTTCTGTGACATATGAGTCCCAAATAGTGAAACTCGTGTTTAGCTATTTTTCCAAGAAAAACTAATGAAAAATAAATTCCTTAAGTACCTCACTAAAGTATAGAACCACATCTGATGAAGGAGAAAGTGAATGACATTTATTTCTGAAATATTTATAGACTGAGAACAATGCAAGAATTCAGTCAATGGTGAATGGTTGATTTTTTTTTTTTTTTTGCATTGTTGGAATGCAACTTAACTTTTTAAAAATTGGAATAGTCTGAAGTAAAGCCAAATGTAAAGCTTTTAGCAAACCAGAATCTTTGCAAAAGCTCTGCTTGCTGTCTAGCTCTGAACTGGGACTGTACCTTTCAGTAAGGCATGGTCATGGTGTAATTTCGGTGCCACACAATTGATAAATCACAGATAAATTGAATGTCTGGCTCAGTGTTCTGTGAGCACACTTCTTATCACCCTGAGATCAGGAAAAAGTAGGAAATACGTACAATGTATCAGCTCATTTTTATGCTGAAAGAACAATGATTGAAATAATTAATGTGTTAATTAATTAATATGAGTGAATTTCTGAAGTATGCAATGTGAAGTCAAGAAACTAGTGTGGTAATTTAGCGTGTTACAGCAGTGTCAAAACACGCAACTTGTCTTTAATTCTTCATGTTAACTGAGGTTACCTAGATCAACAAATGACTTCCCTGCTGGTGGTTGTCACTTACAACCTGTAGTCTTTAATCATTAAAATATCTTAAGGAAGTAGATCAAAATAAAGTACAAACGGACTTCTGTGTATAACGGTAAATATTTTGCAGCGGTTGTGTAAGTAGCATCTTTGTATCACTCAGTTAAAACACTTTGGATTTGAATACTGGTTATGTAACACAAAGATGCTTCTCAATAAGCCTTCAGCAGGTGTTTTTTTTTTTTTTTTCAATGTCTCTGCTGCAGCACTTTGGTAGGCTAAAGGTATTCTGTTTTTCAATTTTGTGTGCTCCCTTCCTTCCTTATGCTATACGGTTGCAAATCATAGCCTGGTTATTATGGTGTTCGCTTGGGATATTGACACCTATCTTGCAGTGTTTCGTAAAGCAGAGAACAACATCAGTAGAAGACAAGTTATCCTGGTCATTAGGATACTTCTAGGGAGATCCAAATTCATAAATCGTTAGGAGAGTCATGTTACAGCCAGCGCTTTCATGAGCGCTTCCAGCTAGCACAGTCCTGCCGTTTGTTCTGTCGTGACTATATAGTGTGCTATGGCACATATGGCGTATTGGGAACTGATCTGGGCTGAGGCTCTCCCCTGCGCTTCCCCATGTGCAGCTGGTTTTATTCTTGGTCGGTTCCATATGAGATGGTCACACGTGTGCATTAGCCTGCATGCGAGAGGAGGTGTTGTAGCAGCTGGAAGAAAGGGAGGGCTGTGAGAGGTGCTTTGCACAGCAGGACCAGCTTGAACTGGTTAAATAGTTTATGAATCTGTGCCCTGATGACGTGTGTTCTGGTTGAGTGCCGATCTCTTCAGTTGCTGGTTTTGAAAGGGGACTGTACAGACTTTCTTCATGCTTCCCCGTTTGGTGACTTTATGCAGCTTGACTTTGGATAGCTTCTCCTGAAGGGAAAAAGGACACCACACTCCATGGCCCCCACGCGATTATTGCGTGATGTCATCTTGAATGGATGGATGCTTCTGAGATGACCATGCTTTTGATGAGAATCTTTCACCAAAAGGAAGTTCTTCTTGCTGTATTTGAGCCTATCTAAAAGTTACTCTTTTGTGCTGTTAGTCTGAAAATAGCGTAGCTAGAGAATTGGCGATCCTGAAGATCATTTAAATCCCTATATACACACACAATGAATATACTAGTGAGGTGATACATGTGTGATTTTTTTTATTTTTCTGTGAGAAATTATAAAATATGATGTATTTGAAATGTTAGCTTCAGTTGGCTTGAGAGAAGATTGTGTGTGTGTAACATATCACGTGTCATTTTTAACAGCTTGCCTTTACACGAGATGGACTGTGTGGCTTGTGGAATGAAATGGTGAAAGATGGGGAGATTGTGTATCCTGGAACAGAGTTAACACAAAGTGGCGAACTACCTCCAAGAAAAGGTATGTATTTTTAAATTATTTTTTTCTTTGTTCATTTTTTCTTTGATTGCAACGATGAAGATGGAATTCAAACTCCATGCTGTCACAGAGCTTTGGTTTATTGTTACGTGTCTATACAACTTGCAGGTGTTCGTGTTTTGAATTAAATACAATTGAAACTTGTACATAAAAGTAACATCTAAGCCCTCAGCTGAAGACTTAAATCTGTTCCAGCCTTTTGAAATTGAACTTCATAACTAGGCGTGTTATTATGAGAGATGCCTGACAGTGTCCTTTTGTTTGGTGTGCTTGGTCTGTTTACAGCCAAAGGCTTTGTTTAAAGAAAGTGAATTGAGGAATGGGGTAGAGCTGATACTGCTCTTCCTAATTTTGTTTACAGTCTTCGTAAAGTAGCTAAAAGGTCTTCTAATGTAGTTGAGAGCAGTTCAAACACTGCAAACGGCAGAGTAATGCATCTATTTAGAGAGATTACTTTGGTGGAGGTGGGTTTTGTTTCCTAATAGGCTGTGCCAAAATTGAGTGATTCCACTCTTGCTTTTTTTCCTTCTGATTGTGGTGGTCTTTTGGCTCCTTATTGAACAGAAAATTAAACAGGTCAGAAAAGGGAAAGCATATGTGTTTCCGAACCTGACTGAAATGGACTCACCAGACGGTCAGATAAATTTTGTCAGTAATTTGTATGACCCCCAAATAAATGAGGCTGTCTAGGAGAAGGATGGAAATACTGCCTTTGGTAGCACTGAACTATTATTTCAGCTTCTGTTACTTCCTGAACTGTACTGTTGGATAAATGTGATACTTCAAACCAGTAATGCTCAGTTCCTTATGGAGGGAATTTTTTTTGTACATATGATTTGTCGTCTTTAAAAAAATTGGGGGCAGGGGACCAATCTTAATAAATAAATAGTTTATGAGACGAGACCGAATGATATGTTATTTTTTGCAAGAGTATAAGCTTTGTAGGTTGTGAGTAGCTGCATGCTGTAGTAAGGACTAGAGTTATGCTCCTGACTATTTCTGAGTTAGAAAACTTTTTTGTCCTGCTGCTGCTGGCCCTTTTGAATATTGTTTACATTGGACGAAAATACAGCTGATCTTATCAGAGAGGCTACTACAGCAGCTGCTCATGAAATGAATGGAGGTAGTATAATTTTTTTTCTTAGGATTGCTAGTTTCATGTACATTACTAAAAGGCATCATAAACTTGATACAATGAAGGGAAGGGTTATCCCCTAAATGAACTGTGTGAAGTGTTTTGCCATTCACTGACAGCTCGTGATAGAGGTGTTGTGAGGGTCGTGGTATAAAGATTCAGCACATCCTACTCTCGTGAAGTAAAAAGGTAACAAACATCTATAATAATAATAATAATTAAAAAAAAAAAGTGTACACATGCTTTACAAATGAATTTGATGCAATTTTCTCTTTTTTGTGGCAGATACTTACACATTGTTCTTAGAGTTGTGCTGGTCTGACAGAAAACTATTCTTCCGATATCTTTATAGCTAAGTAGCCACAGAGAATTGGGATTTTTGTTAGTTATGGTGCTGTAGTGCTTTCAGTGATTCTGAGGCAGCTTATAGAAAGATGTCATAGTATAATTTGGTTTTGTTTTCAGAGCAATCATTGAAACATCAAGTAGGAAAATACAAGCTGTCAGTTCTGATCTAAAATGTAGAGAGTGGTATAAAGTGAAAAACCAGAAGAGCCAAGCAAATCAATCATCTGTGACTTCTCATGTTCATCCACACCTAATCTGAATAAGGATGTGAAGTTGTTTGTGTTTTGTTGTGGGTTTTTTTTTTTAAATGCTGGATGTATGTATGCACACATGATTTCGAAGGATCAAAAAGGTATAAAGTGTTAAAGGTTGTAGGATACTGTTAGTTAAAAATACAGAAATTCTGATGGTGTGCTGTAGAAGTAAGGCATTTATTTTACCTTGAAATGTCAGTGGTCCAACCTGTGATGGGACTTTTGAAAGCTTTCTTATATCCGTAGGGTTTTTTTGGTGGTGTTTTTTTTTTTTTCGGTTGTTGTTAAAGCAAGACTGACAACTTGTTGTTTCCCATATTGTGTTGTGGTGGATTGACCTTAGCCAGCTGCCCACACAGCTTCTTGCTTGCTGCCCCTCCTCAATAGGACAGAGCGAGAAAATAAGATGGAAAAGCTTGTGAGTCAAGATAAAACTGGGGAGATCACTTGCCAGTTACTGGCATGGGCAAAACAGACTTGGCATGGGGAAAATTAATTTAATTTAATTTATTGCCAATTAAGATAGGGTTGGATAGTGAATAACAAAGGTAAAAATTAAAACAGCGCCTTCCCCTCTCCCTTCCTTCTGAGGGGTTAGGTGTAGGTATTACACAGCACAGGCCTCATCTGTTCCCTTCCACAACTGGAGTGTCTATGTTCTTCTACATAGATCCTTATGTAACTTTTCAAGAAATAGATGTTTTAGTAGTTTAGAAATTTAAATACAGTTTTTTTCAGGCTCTTTAACTCTTAGAATTAATGTATGAATTCTCTTTTCAGTGGGGTTAGTCTTCATAAATGCCATTGTGCTGGCCTACAGGATTGGTGAAATACAACCATCTTCTTACTAGACTTGAACTTTGAGAAGCAGCATCTAATTTTGGTTGATGTTGATCTGATTGTATATTTGATTCCATTAGGCGGAAGTGATCATGGAACCAGAAAAATTGATGGTCAGTTTGCACCTCTGAACTTGCATCTTAAGATGAGTTTCATGAAATTAAAATCTGGAGTATTTCAGTCTGTTTAGTTGGTAGTTACTTTTTTTGCATAAATTATCTACAAATGTAATTCAAGAGGAGAGGGAAAAGTATGTATGAATAATGAGATTTATGTAAAACCCAGTGCTTTTAATATAAAAGCAATGTATTTTAAACTCAATATTCAGATTTTGCTGCTAAATTGACTGATTTGGAGATAAATAAGAGAGGTTGCTGTAAGTAGTCCTTTTTATTCAGTCTGTTTTAAGAAGTTTAGATTTGTGCCCATCCATTGTAACTCCCTTTTCTTTTCAAGTGCTGTAGCTCTCTGATGCTGACGGGCTGCCCAGAAGAGGCGCTTCATTCTTTCAGTGAATATCAGCAGTGGCAATAGACTGGGAGAACATGCTATTGATAGTGAAAAGCATTCCTTTTCTCTCTAGGAAGAATATGCAAATTGTGTATTTTTTTTCCGCTGTTAGCAAGTATATTTGGTTAGGAATAACCTCTTTTGTTTTTTCTTCACGGCACTTTCAGAGAAATGTGTTTGCTAAATGTGTTCAGCAGAACGTGTTTGCGTGTTTCCAAGTATCATCTGAGGACACAGCTGTGACAGTAGTGATGTCCAAATACAGGTGCACTTGCAGCGTGGTGTGTACTTAAAAGATAATCAGGCTGCCCTTGGGAAATTTGCATGAGATTACTATCTTGTATACTGGAAGCTATGTACTGAAAATAATGAAAAGTATTAAATAACATCATTCTTACTAAGTTTTTAAGTTAGAGAACCATTACTGTAAATTTTTAAGACATACCAATTAACTACGCAGATGTCTCTTCCTTTTTTTTCTTGGTGGGTTATTTTGATTCCTCAAACTCCTGTATAGGTGGCAGTTTCTGTTTTAATTAGCTATTTTAAGTTCTAGGGCAAAAGTATAAAATAGTCAGCTTCATGCCTCTGTCCTGCCTATGGTAAAGACTGTGGGCTTCCTCTTCTCTTCTGTTCCCCATTTCCTGAATGTTGGGCCTTTGTCAGCCTCATGCCATTGAATCCACAAACCTCATTCAGTGTTATACCTGCAAGTAGATAATAAAGTCCAAATGCCACAAGTGATTCCAGAGAGGCTGGCAGAAACTAAATCTTTATGATAAGAATGACATGATGGGAGATTTGCTTATGGTGGCTCCCACTCAGTAGCGAGCAGTCGTATAGGCTGGCTCCTGTTTTGAGCCTCCTTTTGTGTGTAAGAAGGAACTTGTTAAAAGTGGGAAGCGCCTCTCTTCTCTCCCTCCTTTCTGCTTCCCCCAACCCAGCTATACTGGCTGTACCCAGTGGCTCAAGCGCTCAGTACTCAGCTATGGATTATCGTACTCTCTTTGCAGGGCAGAGGGAAGTCTGTAGTCACCCCGTTGGTCAGTTTGACTTTGTAAGTGTAAAATGCTTTGTTGCATATTCAACAGATAATTTAAAGAATGCATTCTAAAAAATAGTATACCAGGGAAGAAAAGAAACTTTATTTCTGATTAGGGTTAGGAGATCAGAATCTTTTGTCATCTGGACTTCTACACCTGGAAGGCTGCGTAAACATAGTTTGCAAATGGTTAGGCACTCATTCTTCCTTGACAAATAGCTATCAATTGAGGTTTATATATGTGTATATATAAGTAAAAGAAAAGCTCTCTGACGGAAAAGAAATTATTTTGTATTGCAGCTGAAATGCTTCCTGGATCTGGGACTACCAAATACCATTTTAGAGTGGTTGTAAAATACAGCCCTTGCCTAAAGCACATTGTGTAACTTTTTGCCGTGTGAATGGCAACATCTGTTGGGAAACTGCTTCAGGCTTTTTCTTTTTACTGAGGCATTCCCAGCTATATCAGTGCATTGGCATTTAAGAGCAGCACAAGGTCATACTGTAACAGGTGCCTGAGGCGACTATACAGTGTCAGTTATTTTCTCCATTGAATATTGAATGTAAGTTCCACCTTTAGTTGCTTCGTTTTTGTCTTCTGTTTATACTGGATTAGATTATTGCTGTGCAAGACAGAGCACACATGATGATCTACTGTGCTTGAGTTTGGGAGCTAACTTGTAATTGAGGGTGGTTACTTTGGTTGCTCAGTTTTGACAGGCTAAGTGTACCTCCTTCAGCTTGCAGGCTTAAGGTTGTAGACCAAAACATAGTTAAGAGAAAGTTATTTCAGAGCAACGTTACACAGGTTTTTTCCCTCACCACAATATTCACACTTCAGTCTGAGAAATGAAGGTTAAAACAGGTTGTCACACACACTGCAGTGTGGTTTTGCGTGCATTGTTTTGAAAACTTGTTACTTTGGCCTCTGCTGGCTTCACTCAAGATTATTTCCTCCCTGCCCCTCTTTCTGAAAAACCTTTGGGGCTCCTTTTTTAAAAATCCCTTGTGTTAGGCATAACTGAGCTTCCACAATTATGATGTCTGTGTTGCTGCTTTCAATCTAGACTGATACCAACTTTGTCCCTTACGGGGCAAGGGTTTTTTTGCAAGTATAGTGAAAAGTTTTTGTGGAGTAATTTGACATGCGATTTTAATATGGTCTTTAGTTCGTCTCCTTCCCACTTTTCTCATCGTTCCCCTTTTCTATTCGTACAGGCAATGAAAAAAAAAATCCTCCTTGTGGATTTGCATGTCAAGGTTGTGTGTGGTTTGTTGGTGTGTGGTTGTTTTTTTTTTTTTTTTTACAGTACAAAGCTTAAGTTCCCACCTGGAATGGGACCTTCTCTGTTTGTAGGGAGGAGTTGGGCAAAATTACTAAATTCGTAGCCCTTTGTTGTTATCCTTTGCCAAGGATCTGTTAAAAAGTGTAACAAGTTCTCTTTACAGCTGTCTGCGAAACATAGTCTTGGCACAGCACCCTTCTACCCACTAAGATCCCAGACCTTGCAGAGTGTGTCTCTAGAAGTGTGAGTGAGTGGAGGAACAGTGAGATTACGGTGTTAGTGTGGGAATATTCTGAACTACAAGGGCTAAACAAGGTCCTTAGTCACTGATTTAGTTCTACAATGGAATCTGTGCCTTTAATATTATTTGCTTGTGCATTAGAATAGAAACAGATATATTCAGTCACACTTTGGACATGTGTTATCATGCTGATGACTGCTGTACTATTGGCTGTTCCTTGGTGTTTGAGAGAAACGATTATACTCTGTGATTACTACTTACAAGTGGGATATCCAAACTGCTTTTTCCTGTTCATAAGTGACTTTGCTATCCCTTAGCCCACAATCTCAGCTACAGCATCATGCTGCGGTTATGTCTCCTTCTTTTTTCGCTGTTCTCCTTCAGTCTTCACCTGCCACCTCCTGAGCACTAGTGTGTGTTATAGGTTAGGAAACATTGGCTTTAATTGAAAACTTGTATAGTAAAGGCACCTTAAAAAGGTTTATTTTGGGAGATGCTATTGTCTACAGTCTAACGTTTCTAACAAAGAGTCATTCACAGATCCAGTTACAACCAGATTAGGCCTGCATTGTTTTTTCAGGCCAGATGGAAAGAATAGTTGAATGTTTTTGTCCATTATGATAGGTGTATTTTGTATGTTCTGAGGTAATGAGAGCCTTTGATGTCCAAGTGGAGTCGTGGCGAGTCTGAGGCAGGCCACAGTCAGATGTACTGTGCCTGGCTACAGCTGTAAGCCTCTTACTTATTAATGTCCTTTGAAATATGCTGGTACAAATGCATATGTTTTGAGTGTGTGGGGCGAGGTAGGAAAAAAGACAAAATTCTAGTGCTTGTCTGGCTTGTTGTGGCTGGGACATTTAGGGGGGAGTCTCTGTAGACTAGATTGGCAGATAGGAATGGAAGATCAGTCATATTTAAGAGCCTGGTGAAAATGGCTGAAAATAAATTCTTTGTGGGTAAGTTGCAAATGAGAAATTTGGGGGGATATTTTTGGAAAAGAAGTTCAGGGTGAGGAAAGCAGTTGCCAACGTGGCCCTTAATTGCAAGGCGATCTCGTGCATTGAACTGACTGGAGGTGTGGATATGGAAATCCGTATCCCCAATATGAATAAAGAGAGACTTTCAGCTGTCTAGTTCTACTGTGTTTAGAAGATTGAGACTTTCATGGAGCCTTTGGTTACAGAGATAAGTGACAAACTTCTCATTCTGTCTTTATGAAAGTAATCTCAAAAGGATTGCAAATGCTGTTTTGTTGCTTGGGCAGAAAGCAGTGATATTATTTTCGTTACTTGCCGGTGATTACTAAGATGCTAGATATGTTATGGATGTTGAAATACAGCTGCATAAAATGAGTGTAAATGCATATTTATCTATATATGTATATATATGTGTGTGTGTGTATATATATTGAAATTAAGGCAATTGCTATCTTTCTTTTATTTTCTCTGTTGGAAATGGAACATGAAAATAAGTAAATACTATAGAAATATGGGTGCTTGGGAGCAAAATCTGACTTAAAGTGCATCGTTTGCGATACTGTATATTGCGAATCCTTTGCAAGTCTTACAGGATGGTATTGATATTAAGTGTTCTTCCTCCCTGGGAGGTTACAGCAGTGATCTCTGGATTCTAAGGTCACTGTCTTATGAAATGTAACATGAGATCTAGCACCTGTGACAGTTAGCATGGTAAAATACTACTTCCCCCGGCTCTGTACTCTTATTGACAGACAATATTGCTGTAAACTTGTGGACTGGGCATTTCACCTTTACATTTCTAACCTAGAACTGAATTCAAGGGGGAAGTAGCGTAACTGATCTCTTTTTCCATTTTTTTTTTTTCTTTAGATGATAGCACTGAATGCCAAACTGCATCAAAGAAAGAAGAGCAAAACGACAAAGAAAAGAAAGATGAAGAAGAGACTCCTCTGCCCACTTACAGGGCCAAATCAATTGTTGAGAGTTGGGTGTGGGGCAAACAACCAGGTATTACAGCCATTTTGGTCATGCTCACTGAAGTGTTATGTATTCTTTATTGATCACTACTTTTGTAGCATCAGGAAGCAATTGGATCAAATGTACTTGCTGACAGATACATCTGTTAGGTTAGTGGAATAAGTTGGATAAGTGGTTAACTGAGATTGAAGTTAAACAATTACTATAATTACTACATTAATTAGACTCATGACTTGAAGAGTCAGTTTGCACCTTTCATGCTGCTTGAAGGAATGATAAACTGACTTGGAACAAATGGAGTTATACCATGAAATGTTACAATGTCTTCAGAATATTTCCTTTCACTTGCAGACACTGAAAAGAAATTGCTTAGTTTCTGAAGCCTGACTTTTCTGCAGGCAATAAAGGTTTAATAGGTGTTTTTTCGTTTTGTTTTCATGGTCTGGTAGATACGTTTGAGAGAATCATGGGAGGAAGGTTGAAATGGTTATTCAATTAACTGTCTGTCCTGACCTTTGCTGACAGTAATCTCACTGATTGCAGCAGTGGAAAAATGATTTGTGTGTTCACATCTTGATGTATGGCTCTATAAAATACAGATCTTGATACTAATGGTGGTTGAAGTTCATGGCTGTTTATTACTGGACAGCAGCCATTCATTGTCTAAAATGGTCCATGTTTAGAAATAGCAGCTCAAAAGAAGCTTCACCTCAGTGCTTTGTTTTACAGTTCTTGTGCATGATATTGCCTGATTCGGATGTTGGCCTATACAAACTTTGGAGACATCTGTTGTGCTCCTTTTCCTTTCACCTCACCCAGAAGCACTTGAAGATTACTGGGGAAAAGTATTGTCTCTTCAACACCAGAATCCGCATCTGTGTTGCCCTGTTTGTTAGGGAAGATATTTGTTTCTGTTGAGCCACAGGTCAGCTGTCAGTCTGCTGTCCTCTGCTCTGTGCCAGCCACCTTGCCCTCTTTTTTTAAGGACAGGAGGACAGATGGACTTGCTGTCACTCTAGTAGTGGGACAGAATTTTGCAGTGTGGGAGGAAGGAAAAGAATTACCTCTACAGGGGAAGAGGGAGTGAGAATTGCATGGGTTAAAGAGATGTAACCTGAAGGTCACATCCTTTTTGTTTTATATTTTTTTAGTGTTTGTTGCTGAAGAGTAAAATAAAACTATTTTACAAAATGATAATCTAAATGCCAGATATCTTGCCAAATTTCTCCCAACTGACCAAGGTGTTTGGGACAAGACCTGGCCTTTAAGCTCATCCTCCCATTATTTCGTAAAAATTGAACAAACAGTTGTTTAGAAAAAGAGATGTGTGTATGTTTGGAGTTTTCAGAAACGAACTTACTCTCTTGAATTTACTTTTAGTGCTTGTGTATAGTATGGTTTATTGGCACACATACAGATACTTATTCTAGAAATAACTTATAAAGACTTTATGTAATAAATTTGTATTCCTTGGTCTGTGTTACCATTTGTGCTTGAAGTTTACATTACCTAGCTGTGACATACAAATCCTTATATACTACAAACACACTTGAAGTTTGTTTGTAGAAGTGTTACAGGTGGCTTTTGTTTGCAATTGTAGGTAACTTTCTGTTTTGTGTTTGTCAGAAATGTAGCTAACAGCTGCCTTTTGAGCCACCCTAGATTTTGTGGCTTGGTAATTAATTTTGAAAAAAAAATACAGAGAATCACTTCAATTTTGATACTTTGTGTGTTTCATAAAATGAGGAAAACTTTCAAGCTTTTCTTCTGTCATGCTTCATAAAAATAAAATGAACCTTTGAACATTTGCTTGTCAGAAGCATGAAGGAACTTTTGAAAAGGAGAATGGTTTCTTAAATACGTTGTTGTTGATCAAGTAAGAATTAAAGGGTTACTATGTTTTCATTTATATTTTTTTATTCCTTTACAAGTAAGATACAGTTTGGAGATGTGAGCTTGGAGTTTCTTTACAAAAAGAACTGAAGCGGCATTTGAAGTCTGTTTCAGGAAAATACCCTGAACTATTTCTACTAACTTTAATATTTTACAGTCTTACATTATGAAAATGCTATATAGACATTAGACAGTGTGTATGTTTTAGGAGTGCTGTAATACAATCCTATTTTGCCAAGAAGTGTGGAGGATTGTGCTATTGAACTTCAACAGGCTTATCCAGGTCAGTGGGCCTTGTGAGATCACTCGCCCATGAGGGCTGAGAGATTGAGAGCACACAAAAAAACCTGTTCATAGAATGTGTTGAGAAACAGTACTTTTTGTCCCTCTCCAGTCGTGTGCTTATTTTGTCATCCTGGCACAAGTTCAGAGAAGCTAAATGCTTTCCCTAGTTCTGATTTATGCTGAGATCACTACTCTGCCAGAACAGGGCAAAGAGGTCATAGCTTTTTTTTTTTTTTTTTTTTTTTTTTGGAATAGTCTTATTTTGCCAACTACTATAAAAATGTATAAGATAGTAATAAATACATGGGTATGTCATTGTTTGATTTTAAGGTGGCTTTCCTTCTCTCTTTCATCTTCGTATTCATCCATTTCATACTCAGCTCTTAACTGATGTTAGTGTTGAACTATTCAGGCCTCATTTTTTACATAAGTGCTTCTTTAAAACATCTTCCTCCTATCCTGTTCTCACCAGGTTGTGTGTTCATTAATCAGTTCTTCTGATTCTTCCTAAAAACCTTTGTTTACTACTTTCGTCAGTCTTCTTTTCTGAAGATATTTGATTTTTAGCTTCTTACGATCTGGAGAGAAGTCCGGGTGTTCAGCCTTGGATGTGGGGAGAAAAGGAAGAAACCCTTTGAAGCAGTTCAAAACCTACAGAAAATAGAGTAGTATTTAATTGTCTTTGGGCTTCTTTTTCTTGGTCATGACGTGCTTAAGGTTGGCTATATTGAGTCAAACCAAAGGATACTCTAGTCCGATGTCTTCACAGCAACAGCATAAATAGCAGTAGCCAAGTGAATAATTAGGTCCCGTGTTTATTATGATTCATTACCTGTAGCCTATGGAGTTTAAGCCAGAGGTGATGGTATGGGGCAATATGAATGTGTGTTTGGATTCCTCGTCCCCCTTTTATTTTGCTGGAGTGTATGTGTGCATGGCATAACTTAATAGGCTTCAGTATTTTTGATGTTGATTTTTTTTTTTCCCATTCATTTGTCTAGTCCCTTTTGAACATTCTGAACTTTTAGCATCCACAGCTATATGTAGCAAGGACCTTTTGTAATTCAACTGTTTATCCCATTAATATTATCTCCTACTAGTCCTTGGCTTGATTCTGACATTTGTTGGTTTCACCTAATGCCCTGTTGTTCTTATACTGGAAGAGGCAATGAGTGGTTGTTCCTGACCTGTCTTCCTCAGCACTGGTGGGGTGGGGTTTTTGTGTTTTAAGAATTCTGTCATAATCACCCCCCAGTTGTATCTTTCCCTCACTGAAGGTCTTATTTCATGCAACTTATTTGCATGTGGAAAACCTTCTAAATAGTTCTTCCCTCTGTGGGTGTTGTGTCGTGTTTGTGCGTGTCCCCCATATTTTTAGGCCAGGGAAGGTGAGTTGGGAACTGCATATACTACTTCAGCTGGGGGCACTTCATGGGTTTCATGAAGTGGTGTAATGATCTCTGGTTTTCATTCTGTCTGTCTTGATACCCTGTTTTTCCAGCTGTTCATGGAAAGTGGACCAGTTTCTTCTTGGCTCTACCCTGCTGTAGCGCCAAGATCTCATTCCTGTGTGGAAGGCTGATTGGAGCCCTTTTAACAGGAAACCTAGGATTTTGTTTCCCTGGCTCATCAGTGTATATCTGCTGTTTTATTGCTCGCTTACTTAATTGCCTGCATATTTTTGCAGTTGACTGTCATGTTTATTAATGTAGTACCAACAGACTTAATGACCTAAATATTTGTCTTCATTTCCACACAATTTATGTGTATATGAAACAGCAGACGAATTTACACAGGTTTCTGTGGGACTTGTTGTTGCTCCTAAGTGTATACCGGCTATTTATTCATATTTCTTGATGCATTCCATATGCCTCTCTGTAAGTGTTAAGGGCTCGAACCCTTAACATTTAGCATATGTCACTATTGGGTGTTTAGAAATGTCTTCAATGCACCCAGATATAAAATCTGAGAGACTCGAGTATTTTTGACTTCCATGCAAAAGTGCATTTTCCCTTAAGATGAATCCTGTTTGGTTTTTTTGTTGTTGTGTTTTGTGGTTGGTTTTGATTTTCTTCTTGCTTGGTCTTAGGGAAAAAGCACTAGCTAAATCTTTTGCAAAGCTTAAAATTTTAGAGCTGCTCACTTTGACTGTGGGTGTGGTTGAGTATTTATTTAATACCACTTGAGGTCAAGTAATTTTTATTTCTTGAAAAAAAAATAAACAGCTCAACTGGTGTAACAACTGTGTATGTAAAAACTTAACTTTAAAATCTATTGAATAGATTTAGATTCAAATTCACTGTGATCTGATCTCATTTTGTGTGTTTTAGGATACTAAATACTGCATATTTACAGACAAAGGTAGTTTAAATTCACCTTAATTGCTCTCTGACTAGAAAGTGCTACTTTCTCTTTGGCAGTTTCAGTAGGAATGCAACTGTCCTGTTTCCCCTGTGGGACAAAAAAGTAAATGAGGAAATAATCGTAATGCAAGTATCCTTAAATGAATAAGCAATATACAGTTGAAGTGGGAATATAGTTTTCTTGTGTCATCAGATCTGATTTATATTAGTAGTGAATTGAAGTATTATGCTGGTAAATCAGTGTCATGATGTAGCACTTCTGGGGTTTCCTCATGCTTGAGTGAGAGCTTGTTTACAGACAGTGCCGCATCTTGTTTTTCCAATATTGTTAGTATAGCTGATTGCACTGAGAAATGCTTTAGAGGCAATGCCGAAGGGGGCAGGTTAAAATTACCCATGTGAATTCAGTAAGATGTTGTTGAGATACATGTCACTACTAACAGAACTCGAATCTTTCTGTGTTTGCTTTGTAAGAGAGGAGACTTGCAG